AACGAATTCATTGAATAGGTTAAAGTTGTTTTTTTGGAACGTCTCCGTTAAAACTACAGCAATGTTGAACAACTTGACAGAGGATAACATGACATTTTTGCTTAGAAGACCAGAAGTGTTTAGAAAAAAAAATATGTTTAAAATTTAAATTGTTACACTTGTGCTCAAAAACCTCAATTAAAAAGAAATAACGGCAAACGTATACTCGTATCTACTCATTTTCCCTCATAATTTTTGAAATCCAACTTATCATACAGTACAGTAAAACAAGCGCTAACGCATTCGCTAACGTCAATTTTTGTGATATTTAATTATATAAAATAAGAAGTTTAAACGTCAAATCTTTCAAAACCAAAATTTATTAGCATATTAAATATGTTAATTAATTTTTACAGGTAAACAAGACTCTGTTGCTAGTGACGACTTAATAGTATGGAAAACAAAAAATTTTAAAGAATGAGAAATTCATAAAAATTTATCGGAATTGCAATGAAAAATATATTTTTTTTTTTTTTAATTTTCGTCAATTCTTTTTTTAAAAGTAATATTACATAAGCAAACATACACACATAAAAATTTAAATTTTAATTAAAAGGTGTAATTTTTAAGTTAAACATTTTTGTTAATTAAATGCAATTTTGTGTAATTGGAAAATTTTAAAAATAAAAATATTTTGCAAAAATAATTAATACTCCAATATTTTTTTATGCAAATTTTCTTTATATTACGTACGAATATCTAGATTATTAATATTATTATTGAAATATAGTGTTAAGTAAGTAATAATAGTTGATTATATTATATTGGTTATTAAATTAGTTATGTGCATATAGTGTGTATTTATTCCAATAAAATTGCATATTTAAATTGATCAGCTGTACAAATAAATAATTAATAATTCTGTAAATTGAAAATAACATTGCAAAATTTTATTTATTTTAGATTTTTCTTTGTTTTATTTTTATTTATTTTTGTGTATTTAATTACAAAACAGAAACTTTTTTTTTTTGCCAACGTTTACAAATTTTTATTATTTAATATTTATTTTTTTTTTTTTTGATCATATGATTTTAGAAACACAACGTCATGAACATAATTCAATAAAATTTAATTAGAGATTGTTGTTAAAACGAAAAATTTGTTTTTCCTTTCTTTTCTTTTATATAAAATAAAAATTATGTTTAAATATTGTGTTTTGCACAAATTGTTATAATTTGACTACAACAGAGAGGAAGGAGGGGGCAATATATGGGAAGTTCATTAAAAATAATTGGTTATTCTAAAATTAGAATATTGTATAGCCGCCTTTAATAAAATAATGTAAAAAAAACTGTTATACCTCAATTATATTAATAAATATTGTATAATATTTACATAGTTGCAGTTGTATTACAAATATATTAGGCAATTACATTTAATGAGAATTAATAAAATTATTTAAAGAACAAATTAATACAAACGTCATTTCAGGGTTTAAAATATAACAGATTGAAAATATAACAGTATATTTTTATATAACACCATGCTGAGACCTGCGTTTATAGGTTCGATGTTTATTTGGGTGGGCATTAATTAAATTTTGATTAATTTATATGAAAAAAGAAAAAACAAAAAATTTTGTGTCATTGCACCTCGCTAATAAACCACTCATTCAAGTCCCGCGATAGTTTTAGGAAGAAAAATTTAAACACTCAAATTTATTACTTTATTTAATTGAGTATAACGCCGATACTTGACATTCTGCGTAGAAGAATCTTATGATCGATAAGATTATGTAGAACATTCTTTAATTGTGGAATACTGAGGTTTCTTATTATTTTTAATTTTCATATATTTAAATTACATTTTTCCAACTCTTCAAAATCTCAATTCACTTCAAACTCTTTGAACTAATTTTTTGAACTAACTCCTCTGTAACACTTCAACAGATCAATATAATAATTATATGAATCTATTTTATTTATTAAAAAGAATTATTTAATTACTTGTACTTCTCTATAATTTTCATATTAATGGTACGATTTTGTTTTATTAACAGCAATAATTTTAACAGCAATAAATTTTATATTTTTCAATAGAAAATAGCAAAGAAGCGAATTTTTGAAATTTTTATAGCCTTGCAATGGCATATGAGTACAAAATTTAGCTTCTATACATGTACTTTAAAAACTTATGTTTCCTGTTTGAATATTTTTATTAATGTGTGGCATTTAATAGCCTTTAACCCATTAAATGTTTCCTTTTCCAATTCACATTTGTTTTAAATATCTTGTAGATTATAACATCAATATATAAAGAGTTGAAAAAAAAAGCGAAATTTCTTATTTTCACATATTTATTTTCAATTCCCAAAATAGCAATAAAATTATAATTTTATTGTGTGTTTAAGAAATAAATAAGAAATTTTTTATTTAGGTGAGAAAAATTTTCTGGTTAAATTTTTTGTAAGACTATGGAGAATTTTAACTTTAATAAAGAATTTAATGTTTTGTGACGTCATTCGAGAAAATATATAAAATTACGAGTAGTACTTTCAAACAAAAAATGGATTAACTCAAAAAATAATAGAATTTGGGAGAACTGCAAAAAACTATTTTCAATCAACATAAAGCTATTCTCTAAAATCCAAAATAATTTTAGTTTGTAAAATGGTTACTTTAAATGCATACTTGAAAAATGGGTACTGCGATAAATAAAATATTTGAACTATTTATTGGTCTTGAACTTAAGAAATCGTATTTTTGGTGTTAATACCCTTTAGTTTCAGGTGTATGATAGTTTTGTCTTGTTTAGCTTTAAAACAGACACTAACTTATCAAAATTTTTCATTCCTATTTTAATAAAATTAAAATATCGTAATAAAGGAAACCGGTTTATTATACTGGAATTGTACTGTATTAGAACTTAATTAGTATAGATAATTAACGGTATAATATAGAACAAATATATTACATTTAAAAAATAGTCTTTTGAACTTTAAATTTTTGTTTAAATTTTTAGAAAATTCGCAAAAGCTTCTTGAGCCCTAAATAAGTATAAAATTTGGCCAACTAAATAAGAATCAATAAATCTGTAAATAGTAAACATTTTTTTGGTAATAAAATGTACCGAATAAACATCTTTTTTTTTGTATTACTTTGAATAATGAAAAACAGATTTTATTTGGAAAATTTTATTGCCACAAAAATGATTGATAACTTTTTTGTTTTCGACCGACTTAAAATAAATAAAATTTTAAGAAAAAAAATTTTCAAACATAATACGAAAGAAAATTTTTTTTAAAAATTGTTTACAATCGAAATTAAAATCGAAATAAATTTTTATTATTTTTATTTTTCAGTTGAAATTTCATACATAGTTTTCCAAATTTTTTTAATGAACTTCGTATACACGTAAATATTTACACAAAATTTTATTATTCAAAATTTTATGAAGTATATACAAGATATATAGATAATCGCATTCATATTTTGGTAAGTCAAATTTTCTCAAAATAAACCAAATACTTACAAAGACTAAGTTTTCATTAATTTCGTTTAGCAGTACAAAATAGTTTTAATGATTATGAAATTTTAATTTTAGACGTTAATAAAAATTGAAGCTAATGAGCTCGCAAACGGTTTTCACAGTACGTTAATTGTTCACCATATTATTGATGAGTGTATAAATTATCTGATGCAGAGCGACAATCGAGTTTCACAAGGCGCAGCAATAATAAAACTAAATAATTGTGGTGATTAGGAATTAGGAGGTCAGACAGGTCACTCAGAGCCATTCTAAACTTAAACAATCAATTAATTGTCGTACAATACTCAATGATTTAGAATCGTATAATACCGTCAACAATATTTTACTAATTTTAGTTTAATTAAACTTAAGAACAACAAAATTTTTATAAAATAGAAATTTGAAATATTTTTAACAAAAAATACTTACGATTTTTTATGAATAATGAAAAAATATTCTAAAAAATTTTAAATAAAATTAAATTGAATTTTAAAAAAATTTTAATTAACAATTTTGAAAACAAAATAACAATTTATAATCTGGAAATTTAAATTTTGTAACAAGAACACTGACTATTGGAATTTTAAAATTTCAAAATTGACTTACTAAAATAAAGAATTTATAAAATTTCATTTTTCAACTCATAGTTTAAAAATTAAAAAATTTCATTTAATACAAACATATTTACCCTACATATTAAAAAATTTCGCTGCTAAAAATACTATGCAGCTTAAAAAATAACACCTAAATATAAAAAAAAAACAAGTTAATAGCAATTAATTTTCGAAAAAATTCTTTTCTACAGAATTGTATTTAAAAATTAAATTTTCCATTTTTATTCGAAAAATTAAAGAATGTGCAATGTGTTTAAATTGTTTTAGGTGCTCCATTTTGATTTTTTAAAATATTTCTTCTACCACATTTAAAAATTATTCCTGTAAATTATTATTAAAAAAAATTGGTCATCTAAATTTTATTTTGCTTTAGCATTATTGGTTTGTAATTGGCAATATAGTTGGCTGCAATTTCAATTTTGTCCAATAATATAAGAAAAACTTTCCATTGACAATAAGTGCATTTTTTTTTTTTAGCAGAATAGAAAAAGAAAAACCATTCTGCATAATTGGTGTTGTTGATTTTTTAATTATAAAAAAACTCTACACTCTTACGAATTAATTAAAAAAATTATTTAACAAATTTTAACGTTACCAATAACATAAAAATAAAAGGAGAAATCCAATGATATTACAAATTTCATAACGTGTTCAACTTTACACAAAAATTATAAAGTGGTGAAAAACAAACAAATTTCAATAAAAATAAAAAATTTTCATTTAAAAGAAAAAAAAATTTTAAAACATTCCCAACTCTTTTTTGAGTTTTTTTTTATATACCATTTTTATAATTTTTTTTTTTTTTTTTGGAATAAAAAACTATCTAATCCTGTTATATAAACTACGTTTAATAAACATAAACATGTTTCTTTATTTTTTATGAATTTTTTGTTTTTAAATTTCTTTTATTTTTTTTTGTACTCACTGCCATGTAAAACTTCCAGTTATTCCATCTTTTAAACGATCTCGCAAAGATCTTTGTCGACTTGGTCCCGTTCCAGTTGTAAATGATGGTATTGTTGGGCTACCACCACTACCACCACTAATACCACCACTTCCAAATGCTGAAGCTGGTGAATGTGGTGGTGGTGTTATAGCTGATATCGATGATTGTGATGATGATAATGTACTTGTCGATCTAATTGGTGATCTTGATTTTGTTCTTGATACTGTTGTTGTTGATGTTGTTGATTTTGGTGATGTTGTTAATGGTAATGATTTATTTTGATCATCATCATTTTCATATATTGGTGATACAACATCAGATGTGCCAATTATATTATTTGATGATTTTTTAACACTATGCCGTGGTGAAGTGTCACGAGACATTTCACTAATAATGGATTTTCAAATTTTGATTTCAAATTATTTTTTTAAAATTTTTGAGTAATTTTGATTTTAATGAATTTTAATTTTTTTTTTTTTTTGTTTTTTAAATTAAAATAAATAAATTTATGTAAAATTAAATATATTAAATTTTAATATTAAAAATTATATTTGTTAAGAAGAAAACCATAAAAAAAAAAACTAAACACAATAAAAAATAACTGATTTAGTTGAATTATCTATTTAAATGTGTTGAAAATATAAAGTGTGGTGAGTATATTCAAATCTATCATATTATTAGACTGTAAAAGAGTTAATTGATCACAATGCATTATTTATAAGTGAAATAAAATTATTTCATGTATTTATATAAATATAAATAAGAACTTTATATAAATTAAATGTATATAATTTATTTATGTACCTAAGATATGTAATGTTTATGTAATATGTATGGATATATATAGTTAAAACGACCACTCAAAGCATAATATTATACATATATAAAATATTTAGATTTTTCTTATATATTAATTTTTTTATTTATAAATAATATATGAGAATTATATAATATATATAAGAAAATAATAGAAATAGCTTTAGAAAGAAATACGAATGTTTTATTTTGCTTTTGATATATATTAAATAATATATGTATATTTTAATATGTAATTTTAATTTATATAAAAAAGTTATTTAGGAAATAAGGTTTATATAGATTTTTATGATTATTGTACTTATATATAAGTATATATGTTTTTACATATATATAGAAGAGAACATAATAATAATGGTAACATTAAAAGCGAGATTATAGTATTTATATATATATATATATGGAATAATAAGTAATTTAAGCAATATAAATGAAAAAAAAATTATTAAGAAAAAAACCAAAAATCACTCAAACATATTCAAAATATTTTCAAAAAAAAATTATATAGAAAATATAAATTTCAGTATAGAGTAAATGTAACCATTGTGAATTGAATTAAAATATTTTAAAAGTTTTAAATTCAATACTATTTGTAGTTAAGATAAAAATAACCTCTTATAGGGTTTAAACTTTTGATTTATTTTTTTTATATTTTTTGTAAGAAAATTTCTATTTTAACATTGAGGCTTTATACATATTATATACATAATAAATTAAATATGAAAATTAATTATTTTGGTTTTGTTTCATCACATTCAGAGGGTCTATGAATTTAAGAAATATATTATATAATATTACTGAAACTTGTACATTGTGGTCAATCATAAATAAGAAGAAAATCATTTTACTGCTTTTTTATTTTCATAATAATTTTTTCAAAAACAAAATGTATTGCATATTTATAGGCGTTATGCATTAAAATATATTCAAAATAATTTAATTAATATTAATGTTAAAATTTTATTATATTATAAATTTTGTAATTATTGTTAATCAGTTCACAATGCATAAAAAAAAAATTTATGTAGCAAAATATTATAATTTAAGAAAAAATTAATTAAATATTATAAAAAAAAAGAAACTATATTATAAATGATATATATATGTATAAAAGAGAAAATATATCTATATATTGAACAAAATAATAAAAAAATTAGAAAATATTTATAATATGTTTATAATGTTGGACAATGAAAGCATTTATATTTATATTTATTATATATACCAATAACTGTTATATAACTAATATAATAATTCATGTATAATATAAAATATATATATATATAATATAATATTTTGTTTTGAAAACAAAAATTTAAAAAAAAAAATATATAAAAATTTAATACCCATCTAATATTTATATGTATATAAAATATATAGTAAGTATATATTTGTTAAAAAATTATTAAAGAAAAAAAAATCAAAATAATAAAATAAAATAAATTTAACACGCACATATTTGACAAGTTGTTTTTGAGGTTATTTTGTTGACATATACAATTTATATAATATGACGTTTATTCAATATGTTAAAATATGTAGTTCTGTAGTTTTTATATATATTATTCAGATATATTTATATATATATGCAAGTATATAATAAATATTGGTATATATATATATAGTTTGTTACTTCTTTTCTTAATGTTGTTTTGTTTGTTTATTTATTAATTTTTTTTTGTTGTGGTTTTATTCGTAAAAACTTTAAATAAACTGTATTTAGTGTTTATATATACATTATATAAGTATATATATATATATATGTTTGATATATATGTATATATATATATTTATGTATTTTATATAACTGTTGTAATTAGGATATTTTGTTTTTAATATATTATATATTTATATATAATTGTTGTAATGACAGTAAGCGACCTCTTTAGTATATTTTTGAATATAATTATATTGAATTAATATAAAAATAAATGTGAAATTTTTTTTTAATATTTTATTGTTATTGTTGTTCTTATTGTTGTAATTGTTTTTTCATTATTTTTTTTTGTATTATTTTATATAAATTGTATAATTAAATATAAATTAATTAAATATTATTATCATTTGTTTTTATTTTTTCTTTTATTTTGTTTTTCGTTTTTTTTGTTATTGTTGTATATATATTAGGGTTATTATATAAGTATTTGAAAAAATGCTTTAATTATTTTATATTGGCATTTAAAATAATAAATTATATTATGTAATATTATGATGACATTGCTCTACGCATATATGCAACATAGCTAACAAATATATTTATATAATATATGTAATTATTTTATATATTATTTCAATGATTAGAATATTTTGTAAATATTTAATATAAATTATAATTAATTTTTTTCAATTATAAATTTTTTATTGTAAATTGATTGAAGAGTATATCATAGAAGAGTTGAATTCAACGAACCTGAAAATATACGAAAAAACAAAAATATTAAATAATATTTTTTTCATTATTAAAATAATTTTTAAAATATTTCATTTATTTTTATTAATTAAGAAATTTTTAATAACAATGATATTAAAATTTGTTGATTTAAGAATTTTTGTGCTGCTATTTAGTAACATATATTATAAGCTATTTTGTCATACTGCCTGCGTTCCTTTAATTGAAAAAGCATATTTGGAATATAACGTATAAGCGTAGTTGGTAAATTAAGCGGTAATTTTTGTATTTCTATTCCTGTCACCTGCAGTTTTACATAGCTTGCTATTTTTGGGCGAAGAAAGACGTAGTTGTGAATTGTAACACGAATGTTTACATTATGTTTGCATGCGATCTACCGGCCGATTCCAAAGTATACTTAATAAAATATACCCTGTCAATTATTTTATTGAAAATAGATTTTCAATTGACAAAAGTCGAAATAAAGGGAAGTTGTTTACATTATGAACATTCAAATGTACCCTAACACTAATATCAAATTATTAATGCTACATACTTAATTAAGAGAGTGAGGTGGTAATTCTCGTACCTTATCTAGTGGTATGATATGTTGATTTCAAAAATGTTTTATTTATACATTTCTATACAGGTTTGTATGTTACATAATAATACATAATAATATTTTTTAATGCGATTTAATTGTAAAATAATGGTTTTTTGTTGTGTTGAAGTAATAATAGTGATGACAACACTCCAAACAAAACTGTATCCTGTGTTTCACCACTTACCACATCATATATGTGTTAACCCGATCCCATTGTATTTAATATAATGTACACTATAAAAACTTTAAAATGATTATAATTTATCAATTTTATTACACAAAACTCTGAATATTTTTCAACTCAGACGAATATTGTTAAATTCGCATCAAATACTTGTGACACATTTATGCCAAAAATAAAAATATAATATTGAATTTTTAATTAAAAAAGAAAATAAACTCACAATTGCACATGTGTTAACTTCGTTATTATTATATTCATTTTTAAAAAAAAAAATATGCTAAATCTGAAAATTAATATTTAGCCTAATTATATGCAAAATTTCATTAAATTTTCTCAATTTGCTATTGTATATGAAAATCATAGAAATTTTCTTATTTAAATATTTCAGTTTATGTTTTAAATGAATAAACAAGTAGAAAAAATTAGTTCACAAAAGAATGAAAAAACATTCACAATAGAGGATGATTTTCATATTTCCGTATAATATCCTAAAATTTTAAAAGCTAATAAAAAAGAACAAAAGAATACTGTTATAATAAAATTTAACTTTTCTCCATAATATTTTTCAAGTTTTTCTCTTAATTTTGATTACATATTTTTCTCTTAAATTTTTCTTTTTCCTATTTTGTCTTGTCTTTTATTAGTTTTGAAATCAAAATTAGGTTTTTGGTTTTTATTTTTTAATATTTTTGTTTTATAAATAAAAGAAATACTTTCACTGTAATTTTTGTTTTTCTTTTTTGTTTTTTTTTATAATTTAGAACACAAATTTCATTTACATTTTAACTTCTTGTATATATTTACATAAATATTGTGTATTTGAATAAATACTATAAGCCAGTATGTTGCATACTAACTATAATATATATATAGGTATAGAAATAAAGTAATAAAAATTGAATTGTTCCAACAACTATAAGCCAAAAGGATTTTTGTGCTAAAGAAATACCATTTTTGCTTAATGAATTTCTTTGAACTACATTTAATTCGAAAGTATTATAGGAGTTGTTTTCGCCCTATAAGTTACATAATGATTCGAAAAATTGTTAGCTCTTTAAGAATTCTGGAAAATTATATGAAATATTACCCTAAACATGTGAAATTTTTAAATCTATTATTAAGCAAGCTCAATCGATTCTGCAAATTCCATACACATTTCAATTGATATTAAGAAAACAATATTATAAAAAAAGCTTATCAAAAAAAATATCATGCTCTTGTATATTTCTGACGTTATGCAATCAAAATTTCACTTATATTGAGAGTAGTAACGATTTATTTTATGTACATAAACTGTTAGTCACAATCGTTACGTATATAGTTAATAAAAAATGAAATGAATATGCATGCACACTATGTACATGTAAAAATATATTTAAATATACATTTATTTGAAAAAAAAATATGCAATATAGCATATTGTGATCAACCTAAATGGCAAAATAGAAAAATATGAAAGTCACGTTCATAAGACTTCACATAAATAAAATTGCAAAATATGTATACAAAAATTGAATTATTGAAATGCAAAAAAAAAAACAAAGAGAATGAAGAATATTTTGAATGAGCAACTATAAAGACAATACAAACATTAAGACGGCACGCAAACAAAACTGGAAATATAAAAGAAGTAAATAATTCCGTTCATGCATTCATAAAATATCATAAAAGGATCTTATGAAATTAAGAACAAATACATATATAAATATAGTTGCTATATGAATGTGTATTATAGTAAAATATATAACAGTAATAGCCCGGAAAATATTTAAATGAAAATTAAATAGTACAGAACAGTCTTATTTCTAGAATCAAAGTGATATTTAATTTCCATAGGTTCAACACTATTTTAAACATTAATTTGGAAATTTTTTGAAAAAAATTCAAGTATCAGTTTCAAGGTTGTTCCGAGTTTTCTAAAATTCAGAAATTTACATAGAATGTGAATAAACTGCACTGAGATTGAAATTCCATATTGACAAAACCTTGCAGTATACTATGCAACAAACAAAGGTACGTAACATAAAATATTTAAAACTTCTCGTAAATCAGCACAAGAAAAATATAATTTTATTGTAAATTTACTGTAGATTCATATTTGAAATTTATCCTTCCATTTAAAAAGCAAAAATAATTTTAAATACAAAATAAAGACAAAAGGGAAAATAGTAAATCCTTAAAAAATTTCATTCTTTCTATTCATTATTTTGTTTATTTCTTTTTGTTTTCGACAACAGCATATTTGAAAATTTTTTTTTTCCTTTTCTAACTATACATTCTTATACATATATATAAAATAATATGATAGAATTGTTACCCGCTGATTTAAGAAAACAAAAGTAAAATAAAATCTAATGCATACATACATAAATATATAGGTTCTATTTACGTAACCAACATTTATATTGTATAATACTATTATAATAACGACAACAATAATCATAACAGCAAAACCATAAGACGCATTCGATGTTATTTAGGACTCATTTTCATTATTATGACAAAACCAAAAAAAAAAATGGTATATAAAAATTATGGTAACATAAACGTAACAAAAATATCATTTTGATTGAATTTACTTAAATTTAATAAGTATAGCTATATACACTTTGGAACGTCTACACTCAGAGAGTACATTCAATGAAGTATCCAGCGATTTGGAAGAAATACGCAAATGATATCACATTAATAGCACGCAGCAACAAAGATTTAAAAATTTTATTAGTGAATGCTAGTTAGTTAACCATGACAGTAAACAGTTCGGTTTTCATATTAACATTGATAAAACTAAATATATATGGTTGTATAAGCAGAAAAAATATTTTGAACCAGACTTTCTACAGACAATAAAACACTAGAAACGGTAACTAAATGTAAACACCTTAAATGCTGATTTAATGAAAATTGAGATTCTTCGGATGAGATAAGATGTAGAATTGAAGTTGTCAGAGCAATGTTCTTTAAATACAAAAATGTTCTTACAAATCATGATCTCAATATGGCACTGAAAGTCAAATTCGAAAAATGTTACATATGGTCAGTATTATTGTATGAGAAGATGAATTGAATCAGAGCTTTTAAATCGCAGAATGGCTGTATCGCAGAATTTTGAAAATTATTTAGATAAACAGGGTTTCAAACGCCAAAGTGCTGAGAATCTATATATTTTACTACAAAATTTAGAACAATTACAATTAATAAAATAAGTTTAAACTGATCTACCAATCTTGCAAAATTATACAAAAAACTTATTGAGAAAAAAACAAACTCAAGTTTTCTATTCAATTTTAATAGAATAGTACAATACAATTCAACTCTGTTTAAAATAGTCGTAAAATATTGAGATTTTAAATGAAAAAATTTTAAAATAAAATTTTTTTGTTTTCTTATCAAACTTTTTACTTTTAATATTATGTATTAAAAGAAAACTTAATTATGTATGTATGTTTGTATGTATATAGAGGAGAAGTAAAAAGTTCGGAAATAATTTTTCTTTTGTAAAATTAAAAATTGTTCGCCTAAACTTATGCAATATTATTTAAATATCCATACCATTCATACATGTTAAAGAATATTGCTGCAATACAATTATTTATTTTACTTCTTTTCTATTCTAAAGTAAAATTTTTTAATTTAACAAATTTATTGAGAGGAATTGAAAAAATGGAGAGAAATAGAGAATAGAGAGAATAGAGAATTTAAATTTAATAAAATATTTTTTTGAAATCTCATAGCCGATTTCGTAAAAAATAATTTGAAAAAACTTTACTGTATAACAAAAATTTTGAGAACCCCAATAGCTACATAAAACTTAATACAAAAAATAAATACAATAAATTAAACCCCAAAAAAAAGTAATTATGAGGTTACGCACATTTTCGTATACATGAATGCAGTGTCATTGATTACTGATTTGTTAAACGCATACAAATATGCAATCACTTTAATTTCTTGTATAAGAAAATTTGTAGAGGGAGAGGTGAGAGAAAAAGAGAGAAAGAGTTTTAATTTGAGTTTCTCTTGTTTTATTAATTTTTAAAAACACGTAACTATCTCACTATGTATATTGTATATTATTCATAATTTAAAATAATTGTTGCTTTATTCACATTATAGTACTGTAATAATATGAAATTCTGCCTCATACATAGAGATATAAGATAAATTCTGACATTATACACAATCATTTCTTGAACCAATATAATAAATAATATCTAGATACATAATAATATG